GCTCCTCACCTCTGGAACAACTTTCCAGAGAACATAAGATGTGCTGAAAACATTAATAGTTTTAAATCTAAATTAAAAACATATCTTTTTAGTCTGGTCTTTCTGTAAAGACTTATAAAACCTCTGTATATTTCATGTGGTTTTTTTTTTGCCTCATTTTTAATGTTTTATTTTATATTTCATATTTTAATCTTTATCAACTTTATTCTTATTCTTGTATTTTAATGGGTCTATTTTATTTTTGTTTTAATTCTGTTTAGTTTAATTTTTATTAATTGCTGTATTATTTTGTTTCCTTATTGTCTGTAAAGCACTTTGAATTGCATTAACTTGTTTAGAAAAGTGCTATATAAATAAAATTTGCTTGCTTGCTTGCTTGCTATAGATGTAAGAAAAATAAAGATAATCCAAGACACGTTCTTATCTTAATATCTTTTTTATATGTTAAAATATCTGACATTTATTTAATTTCAAGGATTAGAAAATACATGTTCAGATGCAAAAGCCTCTAAGTGCCATCTAAAATTTTCATCTAAAATGAGCATTTTTATCAGGCTCCTATGTTTAGGTTCAGTAATTAAAAAGAGGCTTTTGCATCTGAACTCTTCAAATATTTTTTTGCATTGTAGATGAGAAGGAAACCATGGGGAAGCCCACCTCCTTAGACGCCTGGTGGAGTATTCCTAATGCACTGCAGTATAATCAAATTTGAACTATACTGTGTTGAGGTCTTTTTTTAATATTATAATGAATTTTCCACATGGTCTACAGTACATGATTATCCCTGAAAAGACCCACATTTAGAAAAAAAAAACTGTGAAAAGATTATTTCACCATTTATTTGTGTGAGGCCTCTAATGCAGAAATAAATGAGTTTTAACATTTTTGATATTTTAGTAAGTTTTTAATGAAATGTTGTACAACGTTGGGCCTTTGGGGTAGCAGAATTTCAGTGATTTTACTAACTGTCTGAACAAACATTTCTATTTCTATATATTATACACATGATTTGTACAAGGAGTGTGAACAGTACCATGTGTTAGCAGAGCTCTGGAATCTCTCCACACAATCCTCCACTCAGGAGGAAGGGAACTGATGTTATTAATCACTGCTCATGAGAGGAGGGGGCAGCATCGCTCAGGCCTGTCCTCATCTGCTTGTATTGCCTTGTGAATAATAATAAGCCACTGCTATAGTTTACAAGTGGCCGGCTTCATCTGTTACTCTATGGTTTTCAATCAAGGACAAGGCATGGTTAGAGACAAATGGGAGCATTAATGAACTCAGGGACCTCCCTAAATAATGCATCACCTGCTGCAGTTTATATTGTACATTTGTTCAAGTAAACGTAACTGCAACTGCTGACGTGTATTTATTACACTGAAAAACAATTTGGTGTAGAAAAAATTTTCACTCAGAAACTGCTGGTAAATTTGACAAATAATTACAAAAAAATAAGTAACACATTGATTTAAATGTGAAATTAGAAGTAGAAATACTGAAATAGTATTTTCTTGTTTTGTTTAAAACTTTAAAAAAAAAATTTTTTTTTCCATTGTACATTAAATGTGCTTTCTGGTGGTATGAGAAAACAATGCTAACTATGCTGTCAGTTTTTTGTGGTATATGGTTTGTTGGCAATCTCAGTTCATCAATTTGCCAAGCATAAAAGGTATGAATAACATATGGTAAAACTCCAGTTTTTGAGCAGTTTTCTCTTTTGTCGTTTTGCTGTCTTTGCATTGGTGAAATAGGATTCTCATAGAGACTCTGATTTTGAAACATGTCAAGCTCGATAACTCGCTCTACGAGAGTCAATCTGTTGCAACATACATAACACTGTAGAGGGGAAATGCCATAACCCGATTTCAAAGGTAATCTCGTAAAACACGTCTGTTTCGCCTGACTCAGAGATTTAGAGGTCAGGCATGATAAGTTCATTCCATTTCAGGGGATATAAGGGGAAGTTAGCGTTTAGCAAAGCATGTGAGAGCAGCAAAAGAATGGTTACTGGTGCAGTATTTAAGCTTTAAGTTTTTGAGGAGGACAGTTTTTGTGTGGTAACTGAAGTGCTGCAGTGAAGGGAGAGGCTGCATGTTTGAAGAGAGAAAACAAAATGGCAGCCAGCTCGGAGTCGGAGGATGAGTGAGCACACACACACACACACACACACATGCAACTATTCTAAAAGAGCATGTGTTTGAACCATAGAGCTTCTCATTGTCTCGGTAAACAAACATACAGCTACATACAATTTCCAGTATCACACAGTAACCTAATGGTCAATAAGTAATACTCTGGAGCCTAGTTCAGAAAGAAACTTGCCTCATTATGTTTACTGCTTTTAGAGTCATTATTGTAAAATTTTTATTCCAGGACAGTAATTGAGTCCAATTTTTGTTTGATCTTAAATTTTGTGTAATGAAAAAATACATTTTTTTTTTTCATTTTCAAAGCAATCATTCTACTACATATTTTATTGTCTCTCCCTAATAATAACTCCCAAAATGTATTAAGTAATGTGTAAGGATTATTGTAATGGATAGACATCATAAAGAATGGAAATATATTAATATTGTACTCTTGGCACAAGGCCAAGCTTTAAAGTTTAAGGATCCCTGCTTTATTCACAAGTTTTTCCTGTTTACCAGTATTAATTTTCTTGTAATCCCTGTCCAGTCTTGTAGATTTCTTGTTTAAATATATATGTTTATATAGTAATGTTCTATAGAGATGTACACAGGTCTCATTGTCTACATTTGAGTGCCTCAGAACTAGCTCACTTCATCTGCAATCATTCAACAAGCAGAAAATAATAAGAGTCATCAATTAAGCAGAAAGGAGAGCATTTTCATATTTGCATCATTGTTCTTCTATATTTAATGACTGGTAGTGCACTGGAAAAAAATAATATGAATAGTTACCACTACCTAATGCATTATTAATAATCCTGGGATATAGGCAAGAGCTACAATCATTTTAACCTGAAAGCAGAAGTGAATTGCAAAATTAATAAACTGAAAATACAAGTAAAATAAAAGCCTAACCTTTTGACCTTTTGTTTACAGAACATCTGTTAACTGGTCAATAATTGAGGGTCCCATTTGCTCAGTTCTCTGGCTTGCACTGATGTTAGCTTTTTGCATTGTTGCAGGTTTAGCTAACCGACAATGCAAAGGCCTGCTGATGGTGTCATTCATATTCATAATACAGCAAATAACATTACGTTTTCTCAGTTAAAAAATGAGAAGATGAGAGATGTGGAGGAAGAAGCTAATTTAAAGAGTTTTTCAGTAGTAAAGAACAGCGTGGGAAGTAAAACACGAGTCCTGAGGTTTCACTGGCATAGTTAAGACAATTTTCCAACATTGTTTTGCTTTTCCACATGAAAAAATTAAGACAGCAAGGCACCTCTTTGATTAGGCCCATCGTTATTTCTCTGGTCTCTCAAATTGTGCTCAACTTATTTCAAAAATACTGCCACAAAGAATTCACTATGATGTTCACTGACCTGACAGTTTTATGCACTCATCAGAATCTGAACGAGTTCATTCATCAGAGGTTAAGCGAGGACATGCGAGAGACGTTTCTGTATTGGTGTGTTTCACTGGCACCATAAAGGGCACCGTGGCATATGGCGCCACACTGCAAATTCATCACAAACATGTTTCTATTACCCTGAGCGAGCCTGCATGAGTACACAGCCTGGATGATGGGTCAATCAATTGTAGATTGGTGCTCCCTGATCTTTAACCAAAGCAGAAGATGGCATTCATTTCACTGCTGGAGATGGGAGTGTGATACTGCAGCCTTTAGAGTCTCTGGAGTATTTCACAGTAAAAGGTCAGGCAGGCGTGTTAAACTTAATCGCTTGAGTACAATTATGCAATTAATGGAGGCAGTATCGCTCTTTTAAAAGTGACGTGACATGTGGCCAAGTATGGTGACCCATACTCGGAATTAGTGCTCTGCATTTATCCCATCCAAAGTGCACACACACAGAAGTGAACACACACACGGAGCAGTGGGCAACCATTTTTTTGCTGCGGCGCCCGGGGAGCAGTTGGGGGTTCGGTGCCTTGCTCAAGGACACCTCAGTCGTGGTATCGAAGGTGGAAGAGAGCGCTGTTCCCCCCCCCCACCTACAACCCCTGCCGGTACGAGACTCGAACCCGCAACCTCTGGGTTACGAGTCCAACTCTCTAACCATTAGGCCACGACTTCCCAAATACCTGGGAAGTACTTTAATACCTGTACTTTAATACGACTTTAATACCTGCTTGGAATTCATTGGATATTTCACTGATAGTGTTGTGTATGGTTGAGTTGGATAATAAATTAAGATATATATATCCATATATCTTTATATTGCTTTTACTTAAACAGAATTTAGTGATGTTTCTGCTTAAAGCAAGCTTAAAAACAAAAATGTTACAAATGATTTATTTATTGCAGACAATGTCTGTTCTTGTATACGAGCACGAGGGTTTGTAAAAGCATGTTTTCCTTTGAACTTTGAATCAGGATGGCATCATTGCCCACATGCTTGTGCAGTTTAACACACACTCACAATTATTCAGTAGGCTGTTCTTTCTAGACCCCTTGGGATATCTTGCTAGCTGTCAAGACAGTCTTTTCAGGAATATATCTGTCAAGCTCACAGTTTCCATGACAGAGCAGGGACACATTTCTCCTGGTACACCCAGAACCTCAGGGAAGAATTTAATCAGCTAAACACAGCAGCCAGCACCTCGGCACGAAGAGAAGAGGCGATGGGCTCCTTAAGAGCAGACAATGTCCTACTGTCCATTTCTTGACATTTATTTAGCCTGTGTAAATGAAATGAGTTTATTAGCTGTATGACTTTAACGTCCGTAGCTGTTTCTCTGAGGAAGACAGTATTGGTTTAGCATGGATATATTTTCTTTGTTAATTCTTAAATCTGGATGGCACAATCATTTAATGTTTTCCTTTTCTCTGTCTATGTCTGATTCATTTAGCTTCCCCTAGACTTAAGACCCACTCTTCCCAGTTGGAGACCAGCTCCACCCAGCACACCCAGCAGCCATGGCAGAAGATACGGATATGCGCAATGAGCTCTCTGACATGCAGCAACGTGCAGACCAGCTGGCCGATGAGGTAAGGTCATTCACTTCCTCTCTTTATGCTACACTTACACGAACAACAACCTTCAAACTTGAACTGGTTGCAATCAAAAGACAAACGTAGTGCCAACTAAGGGACCAAAATGTGTATTTGACCACCAAACCAAGTGATAATGAAGAATATTTACAGTATGTAAATGTAAACTAAAATAAAGAAATGGATAGTTAAGATCATGTACACTGACATGAGATGAAGACTAATAAAAACAGTGGTCACATCAGTAGCCTAAACTGATTTTTTCCACATGGAGCAGGTGAATGTTAAAAAGCTGAATTATTTTATCTTTGTAACTTCCTTTTATTGGACACTTTATAGAGTTATTAATAATTGCATAAATTACATTATTATAAAATAATAATTTAAGTAATTATTTATAATTATAATTTTAGTTTAATTAACCATGGCTTACTATGAATAGTGCATTTCTATTTTATAAAGTTATTAATACTTGTATTAAGTGTTATTATAATATTAATACTGACAATAATTTTAATATATTTGATTAAATATTTGAAATTAGTATAATTTTAGATTAAGAAATGAATCATGGCTGACTGTGAATAGTGCACTTCTACAACTGAAAACATTTTTACATGATGCTGCATCAATGCCACTATTGACGCCTGTTGATCAGCGCAACATAAACAATAATGTAATATTAATAATGCATTATTTTATTTGCTAAGTCATCTGTTTAGTTAAATCAGACATTAAATTAATTTTGCTCTCATCCAGGTCACCGACATAAGTTAATTATTTCACATTTTCATGCTCTGTTGATTGAGGCTTGGATAAATTGCTGTAATTTATTTTACAGATTTATTTATTTGTACACAGCTTGTTCTGTGGGCTGCAACTGTGAGATGTCATGGTTCACCTGCACTCTGCTTTACATAACAGTGCAGCATTTGCTGTGTGTGTGTGTGTGTGTGAGCTGGGGGTGGCGTCTATGAGTTTGCAGCCTGATGGAGCTCCTCACTGCCACCCCACGCTATGATTCTCACAGCTGAGCAGAATATTAAAAAATAAACAGCACATTGCAAAAGTGGCCTCCAGCCTTCTGATCCACAGAGATATGAATTCATAATAACCAGACTCTCAGTCTATGATATTTGTGTGAAAAATGCTGTAGATCTACTTATATAAATGGCATACTGTTGAAATATGTTCGGTATTCATAATGTTAAGTAAGAAGGAAATTATTCTGGCAATTATTCTATGTATTTTGGCATTCAGTGAGAGACAGAAAGATGAGGTGGTCATACTGGTGGATGGCCTGAGATCTAAAGTGATGAATGATGTTCTGATGCTTAATGCAGATTTTTTTGTACATTTTTCTGTAGAGGCTTAAATATTTTGGTATGTTAGTGCTGTAAAGAACATCCATTGATTATTTATCTATTATAGTGTGTGTTAAAAATCCTCCCACACACTGCAGCTTGTCGAGGTTTTTATCTCTGTCAGTTCCTAATGAATTCTGGTTTTAACATCTTTTTCCTCCCCCCCACAGTCACTGGAGAGCACCCGCCGTATGCTGCAGCTTGTGGAAGAGGTAAAGAGACATTTTATCATATTTATATTAAAATTATTTCTCACTGTTTGCATATGCTCTTTCTTTCTGATCACAAATGTTTAATATATGATCTGTCATAAGATATTTTTTGAAAGAAATAAACATACTTATTCAGCGAGGATGCAATAAATTGATCAAATCTGACATTAAAGACTTTTACATTATTATAAAATATTTCTATTTCAAATAAATGTTGTTCTTTTGAACTTTATATTCATCAGAGAATCCTAAAAAAAATGTTCCATGGTTTAAATTGTATTAAATATTAAGCTAATTAAATATTTAATCAGATTAATGAATAAATATTAAGCAGCAATTGTTTATTTTTCAATAATGATAATATTAGAAATGTTTCTTGAGTGCCGAATCAGCATATTTGAATTCTGCCGATTTCTGAAGCATTATGTGACACTGAAGACTGAAGAAATGGCTGCTGAATATTAAGCTTTGCAATTACAGGAATACATTACATCTTAAAATATAATAAAATAGAAAACAGTTATTTTAAATTGTAATAATATTTCACAATAATAGAGTCGATCAAATAAATGTATCCTCGGTGAGCATGAAAATAAAAAAATATATAAAACAAAAAATTCAATGTACTAAATTAACATGTTAAATTGACCGCCCTAGAAAAATAGATCAATAAATCAACAGATCAATACTTGTATTTTATTCTATCTTGAGAGCTTTAGTCTGCAGACAGAGCTCAGCACAAGCTGGACTTGGCTAATCTAGGCTAGATGGGTTGAGGGTGTTAAAGAGAGAAAGAGAAGAGAGGTGTGTATATCTGAGGGGAAGAACTGTGATGAAGTCTCTGCAACATATCTCAAGGTCATATCGATAATCACAGCCCATATCTCTGCAAAGAGCACCTCCCCATGTCCATTACTGGCAGATCAGGGAAGTGATAAGTCGCCTCTGAGTTGACAAATAGACAAGTCGCCTGAGGCCTCTAAGGCTGACAGACTGATAGACAGAAGAAAACTGGACAGGGATAGTAAACATGGATAAAGAATAATTTGTCACTGCTGACACAGTCGATCTAAGATACTACTACTTATGTCAGCCCATACCAGCCTTTTCATGTTGTAGTTAGGCTAATCAAATGTTCTCGGCACTTATAGACCATCAGCAGTATTCCTGCGTTAGGCCAAAACGGAGGTAAATCACATTCATTATTTATACCAGTAGAAGTATTGAGTTTGTTCCAGGCTTTTACTGCTGCGTGGAAATTCAGCGGTTTATGGCACAAACAAATTAATCCCCAAGGATCCATTTAGGGCACATTGTGATCCCATCCGGAATGAGGGGGGTGCTGCTTCATGTCCCGCTGATTTATGCACCACCGAGCCTTACGATTATCCCAAATATCGATATCCCGTTCCCCTCAAAGCGCTAAAGCTGCACTTTCTGAAATATGTCGCAGCTGCCTGTTATTTTCCAAACTCTAGGAAAACAGCACAGCAAATTTACTTCGCTGATCATTAGGTTTATGGAAAAGTCATGTTTTGTTAGAGGTGGATGAGATCTAGGATGCCAGTGACCAAATAATAGTAATGGACATTTGTTGCTCAAAAACGTTTCTTATTGAAGACTAGAACAGTGAGAGCTGATTTATAACGCAGACCTTTTCATGGCGCTATTAAATAATAAACACGTCATGAATGACATCTATAGCAAAATATGAATTGGAATCTCTGAGCACATCGGTACTGGCTTTAACGTCCTTGTGCTAATGTCCCCTAATACTTTTTACAGAGGTTTGGGAGGAGTAAATGTCCTCTGTATGAGTGTAACTCATTTCATAAGCTTTAAAGAGGTGACAGATGATTTGTTGTGATATTAATATGCAAACCAAATCGTGTGTCCTCAATATCTGAGGAATGAAAAGGCATCGCTTGTTCTGTGTAGCACCTTCAATGAGATCCCACTATATTTGTTGCATTGCCTAAATATTTGGTTGTACTCCAACACACTCATTTATTCTTCTAAACAAAAAGTGGATTCATTCATTGCTGCCATTTTTCAGCAGAATTTCATTGATGGATTTTGTTTACTGTTTAAGGGTGAATTCTCAAGCCATGAAAGCTCAGAAAAGACTCTCAATAGATTCTGTCTCACATTAGCACAGAGAGTGCATTTACTTACAAACGATATTGATCAGAGCTGTATGCTCCACAGTAATTAGCGTCTGCTTATTTAGTCTAAGAAAAAGGAGAAGAACATTATGCAAATTTAAAATGTCACCGGTACAGCCTGAAGGTTTCCCTGTAGACTGCCTCTGGAATGAGCCTTGTGTTTTGTGTGCTGAACCTCACCTCTTTTTTTATGTCCTTCTTTATTCTCCACTTTGTTTTCCATGTATTTCACCATCTTTTCCACGCTTCTTCTCCATGGCTCTCGATGCATAGAGTAAAGATGCTGGTATCAGGACTTTGGTTATGCTGGATGAGCAGGGAGGTAAGTGTGGATGTATTTTAGATGACAATCTTCATGCATTCTTGGCACATAAAAATATAATATTGTATATATCTGTTAGCTTTTCATATAAAATTCAAATGTTTTAAAATAAATTTGCATTAATAAGCAACTATAGTACGTATCATAAATTAATTTTTAGCTTCATTTTTTTTTTCAGTTAATTCCACTGATTAATGCATAAAGCAATTAAAGTCATTTTATGTAATTATGATTTCCTCTGCTGTTTCTGAAGTAACTCTAAATCTTTCACCTTTTGCTAACACGTTTCCTCTTTTATTTAATATTTTTTTTATATACTGTATTACTAAAAACAGGACTGGCCACTGTAACTGTCCATTTAATGCTTGCTTTTAAAACAAGTTTACTGTTCAGTTTAAAAAGTAGTTGCCATCACATTAGTTTTTTAGGTAAGCAGCTTGTAACAATAAACTTTCAAGAAAACAAATAAAGCAACGATCGATTTAGCTGGTAATGACAAATGACACTCTTTCCCATAAACTGCACTAATACTCTTTTGTATAATCCCTGGCACAAAGCTAATATCATAAACAAAAAACAGATATTACCTACTTCAACAGTGTCATTTCAATACGTAAAAAAGTTAAAGTGGGCCTTCAAATATAAATCGACAAGGCTCTAAACAGCTTGCTCCCACTTTAAAAGCACACATTAGCTTGTTTGGCTTAATGTGATTTAAAAAATTACACAATTGGCCTTAGCTAGCCCTCTGATTGGCTTCCCCCCGCCGTCTGCAGCCAGTAATTCGTCTTTTCATAAGGGGAATGAGATCTCACTCCTTCATCCCCTCAAACTGAGGCCTAAAGCTTATTTAAACGAAACTCTCAGCCCAGAGGTGACACTAAGCTAGGCTGTTACCAAGGAATGAGGTATATCAAAAGTTCAGTTCCTTGTTTTAAATGAGAATTTATAGATTTTCATTAATCATCTTTAGGTTAATTTGCTCTGCCTAAATGAAAGGGCCTTGAAATGCCAGGGATTAAACAAAAGTAACTGATGTGGTAGGCTTGTTTCCCTCTTGAACCATTCCCAGTTTGCCTCTCTCTTTCCTGTGACTGATACCTTTACTAAACCTCTTAACAATATCGAACACACCCTGTCTGCACGACAAACACGCCAGACTGCATCACCACGGGTCACCCAGCACCTCAGCCATATCATCCCCTAACCACACAGAGACAAACAAACCATAAGCTGCACCCTCTTCCATTGTAGCGAGGGGAAAAGGAGGCTGTTGGCTTCCAGCAAACTACAGCCACAAAGCCTTGAGAGAGATCAGGGCAGTTTTTTATTCTGCCCCAAGGTCTAATTAAAGAGACACTGTCGCACTCCTGCAGTGGCCCTTATGGGAGAATCTGTCTGCTGTTGGCCGCCAGGATCAAATTCAAGCTAGAATTTCTTCCACTTCATCTTCATCCACTTGATGAATGTGAATTGCCATTTGCAATCCATTTTACTTCCAAAATGTGATGGAGTTTGAGTGACAAAGGATATTAATGAGAAAAAATGTTGGGCGGGACTTGATTTTATTTATTGGGACTTGGTGAAAAGTGGGCGCTACATACCAGAAATGGATTTACAAGTTTACAAAAAACGTAAATGTAAAAACTTAACATTATTCAATAGCCTGTGCGGTCTCGGTGATGTCAGCAGAAATTAAAAGTTATTACTTTTTGATTAATGATTAAGAAGACCCTTTTTTATTTTTGAAAATACATGGACAGATGAATCGCTCACAATGAGACCAGAAACAAGCATTACGTAAATCGGGTCCATTTTGATTTCATGTCGACTTTGATGCATCTCTAAATAAATAAAGGAGGAAGTCTTGCTATTTGAACTCTTTTTTTTGCATATGTAGGTTCATTCTAATGCATGCGTCCCCTCTAGATGCATTGAGCAATTTCGCATCCAGTTCATCAGTGCTCATTTCTCATATATTCTTGTTAAACAAGAGCCTGTAAATTCATTCCACTGCTGTCATCCCTTTGTCCTGACCAGAACAACTCGATCGTGTTGAAGATGGCATGAACCATATCAACCAAGACATGAAGGAGGCCGAGAAAAATTTAAAAGATTTAGGGAAATGCTGTGGCCTTTTCATATGTCCGTGTAACAAGTAGGTACTGACCATGTGGCAGAAGGTTCTTACGTATGTGGTGGCGTCCGTTTTTTTTCCCCCCTTTTTTTGAGTTTCCTTTTGTCACAGTGACTGTCTGAAGTTTTGTCTTCTCTTCTTTGTCCTCTCTTTCCTCCCTCCTTTATTTTCCTGACACCTGCTCTCGTTCTGTGGGGGATAAATTACTTGTTGTTTAATCAGAGCAACTGGAACGCATCGAGGAGGGAATGGACCAAATCAATAAGGACATGAAGGATGCAGAAAAGAATTTGAACGATCTAGGAAAATTCTGTGGTCTTTGTTCCTGTCCATGTAACAAGTAGGTGCTGCTTGCCTGCCTGCCTGCCTGCCTAAAAATAAATCATACTGAGAGGCCTGTAGCCCTATAGTCAGGCGTGCCCAGGGTGGCTTGCCATGTTCACTTCCCATGATCCTAAGCACAGACAGTGAGCATGAGGCATGAGGCATGGTCACACATGCTCACAGAAGTACAGCAGGCCACTTGCTTTGGCTCTGGGTCTTTTGATAGACAGTTTATCAATGAAATATATGAATATAAGGCATGCTTATGAGGGGCCGTATAGGCCATAATTATTCAAATTTTAAATGGTAACTAGGCTTGCCGCGATAGAAGGTGTTGATGGTGATACGTACTGGTGTTAAGCCGCAACACCGGTTACGTACTTTCCCACCATGGCACCTACCCCCACCATCGTTTTGATTTTTTTATAGTAATAAAAATAATTTAGTTCAGTAAAAGAACGGACACTACAATTAAAAACTGAACGCATGCAGCGAATGCAGCGTGCCGAACGACAGTCGCATCACAGATCAGATTTCGTTTCTCCAGTGAGGAGAGCTGACTGACAAGAAGAGTGAGGTGAAGCGAGACAGTAAGATATCAATGTTTTTCGTTTCACTAGTGTTTGTAAGAGGCTTTTCAATAATTATGGCCTATACGGCCCCTCATACATGCTGCACAACCCAAGGTCACACTTCTTTTAAAATCAAGGTATTAATGAACGTTAAACCAAACCACTAAAACTGCATGGATGTGCCAAAGTTGAGGTAAGTCACTAAATGTAGTCAAATACAAATTCATTCAAAATACTTAAAGAAAAGTCAATTATAGCCTACATATATTTTTGATCAACTTAAGTATTACATCTTTATTCGATAAATTATTGTTACTATCCAGCCATACTAGATTAGTAAACATAACTCATACGTGACGCACTCATCATTTTGAGCCGTTTGCAGAGAAACGCGATTTTAAGCAAGACTGTTTTGTGTTCATTTTAAAACAAAGACTTGAAATTATGCCAATTTTATTACGAATTTACATAATAAATGGCATTTTGGCGCTCCTTATCGTGTGACAGCGCAACTGCCTCAGCGCGAGCAAACCGATTCTTTTTCTAACTAATTATAAGACGAATTATACTAATTATAGGACGAAAACATGAATGAACATCAAAAGGATATATCAAAATATATAGTAGCTACAGCTTACTGAAATGTACCATCTGTCGTGTTATCCGTGTTTTAACCGCGAAGAGACGTCAATAAAACAGCTCGTGAAAAACATGTCACGTGACGTTACCTTAGGAAAGCCATTCAGTGGATTATAGATAGTTATCTAAAAAAGAAATAACGAAGAGTGTTGTCTCTAAAATCTGTCATATATTTTTTTATATATACACTGTTAAAATGCTCTATATTTTATCTAAACTGTTATTTAATTTGTGTTTAATGTATAAATCTAATTCTGTCAATAATTGTCTGAAAATGGTTTGTAATAGCTAGAGGAAATTTTTGTAATGACAGCCACCATTTGAATGATTACAAATCGTCAACTGCTCATGCATCTCTTGCTAATTGCTGTTATTTGTTAAAGAACAATAATGTGCAGTAACAATGCTGATGATCAACTCCTACTGAAAGTCATTCAGATGATCTAACATTTTCAAGCCTGTCTCATTCAATGTTGACAGGGATAGTTTGGCCAAGAACAGGATACACAGTCCAGTCTATAGCCGCAGTACAGTGGAGAGAGCCAATGCCTTTGCTGGCTCCCTAAGGGGAGCAGACGAGATCTAGGTCAGACAGAGAAAGATACAGTGCAGATATTCAGTTTTTTTATGTGACAGCCTGTCATAAAATCCCAAACTGATGCAGAGGCGCAAATGAACCTGTGTGCTTAGGGAGGTTGAATTTAGGGTCAGTCAGGTTTTCACATTAAACTTAGTTCATAGTTTTAACAAAATTACAGTCACTTTTTTAATATAAAGTCATTATTTTAAAATCAAATGTAATTTTCAGTAGATTATTTAATAGTTGAAAGAAAAGGGAAAGTAAGTTAGCTATTCTAGGTTCTAATTTTCAATATTTTAGGCATTGTTTGCCAGTTTGAGTATTAACTGCTCCTTCACATTAGATAAAGCTCAACATGATGTTTAGAGAGAGAATGGAGGGAAGGCAGCCGGGGGAATTGTAGCTTTAGTCCGTCTCTATAAATAATACTGCAGTGGGAGGCTTGGCCATCTCTCTTTAGATAAATCAAGAAATATTAGAACTAAAATCTATATCAGCAACCCACAGCCAGAACAAGAGCTGATTAATAAAACTGCCTTGTTCATGCAAAATATTCAATCTTTATTATTTATGAATTAGGTTTATGATTTTCCTGACACAATTAGAATGAATTCAAGGCTGGCATATTGACAGCCTATTAAATAAAATAGTTTGCAGTGGCAATTACAATAATGCTTTCAATCTTACATTTGATTATTGTTATTCTGTACCTCACCCCTGGCCTCTAAATGATCCGAATATCCCACTGTCATGTCTACAACAATAAATAGTAATAACCTATAATAGGTTGTTGTCATATTTGATAAGACTGCATATATTTTGGATAATTGCAGTGTAAAAGAGGCTATAATTACCAATAATTGATAGTTTCATTCATTTTTGGCTCTGGGTTAATAATCTCATAGCATTACTGATCTGTCATTGTCTTTCCTACATGATAATATTCATATTTAAGAGTCAGAAACAACAAGGTGAGAGGTGGCCAATGAAAGGGCAAGATAGGATGCGGTTCTCTTCCTCCAGTTTCTTTTCTGTTTAAGTTATTTACACTTGTCTCCACTGATGTGGCAGTCCTGTTACTCTGTGTTGTCTGTCGCCAAGGCCTGTGCTCTTTGTTATTTGTCATAATTTGAGAGGGGTGACAGCTCATGTGCCATGGGGCGGCCAGAGGTGACCTCTGAGTCCCATTTTTCTTTCTTTGGAAATGTCTGTCCACCTGTATTTACATCCCCCATTTTTAGAAAGGTATGTGTCTCAGCATCAAGTACATGTATGTTATATGTCCGCAGGATATAGCATTACAAATTACAAAAGCCCCTTGAGAATGAGCCCATCCCTGTTATGCTTGCCTGGTAATCCATGTTTGTTGTTGATCTGTGAACACACTGCTGCTGATATGGAAGTGTCCGGTTACCCGAGCACTCACGCTTCCCCCGACTCTGTGCAGAATGAAGAGCGGAGCCAGCAAGGCCTGGGGAAACAACCAGGACGGAGTGGTTGCAAGCCAGCCTGCCCGCGTGGTGGATGAGCGCGAACAGATGGCCATCAGCGGAGGCTTCATCCGCAGGTGAGAGGCCCAGGATTCCAGGACGCTCTGTCCAGAGGGTTAGCTGGATAAGAGAGAGGTTTGATCGTGTAGCCAAAAGGTTAAATAAATCTGGTCGCAACAGCTGTGTACGCTCAAATAAAAGGCTTAAGAGGTCAAATGTATAGATAGGCCATGTGTATGCAGTCAGATTTGAGAAATTATTGGCGTTTGTGGATTGAAATTGACGTTGTGCTGTGCTTGTGGCATGCAGGGTAACAGATGACGCCAGGGAAAATGAGATGGATGAGAACTTAGAGCAGGTGGGAGGCATCATTGGTAACCTGCGCCACATGGCCCTTGATATGGGCAACGAGATTGACACCCAGAACCGCCAGATCGACAGGATCATGGAGAAGGTATGGATTGGCTCTCAAGGCCAGATTCCCATGTTGGATTTTCCAAAGATAAATCACACAATCCTAAATCCTGTAAAAAAAAAAAAAAAAGTGCGGTTTTAAAACTCAAATTAAGAGTTGAAATGAATCAATAATAAGAATGTTCAGTAATAAATTAAATGTCAGTTTTGATTTCATGTTGACTTTAAAAATGAAACTACATATGTATACATGTTATTTTAGTATTATTGAGATACTATTGTAGTTTTTGTTTGTTTTTTTACTGTTATTTTAGTACATCAAGTTAAACTAAATGAAAATGACAAATGTTGCCTTGTTAACTAGTTGACATACATTTTTTTTCAATTCACATTTTTTTCAAGTAAAAAAATGTTTTTTGTAGTTTACTATAATATTTTTGTAGTTTACTATAATAACCCTGATATACATTTCTAACTATATATATTGCAACTGCATATAATGGCTTGATTGTAATGAATACATTGTTGCTAAATAAAGCACTGTTTGAACTATTTCAGGCTGATTCCAACAAGACCAGGATTGATGAAGCTAACCAGAGGGCCACAAAGATGCTCGGCAGTGGTTAAGCCTCTGGTCTGCCTGCTTTTACCAACCGTGCAGTTTGTCAAAAGGCAATGCGCTTATCATGGTATTTACCTTCTAGGTTTGCACACATGCACATATCACCCGGCCCCCATTGTAAATGTCGTTCTATGTGTCGTCTGTCAGCTTTTTCAATGATTGTCCTCGTAAAATTATTTCTTATTCTCTGTATCATTCTTTCCAAAGGTTGTATATAGTGCTGACTCGATGGCTCTTACTCACTTGTGAAGTTTTTATTCTCTTTATTGCCTGTATACATATATGTATGTATGTATGTATACATATATCCGCTTGTATGTGTAAACATATAGCCTATGTGTATATATATATATATATATATCAAATTTTTGCTGGAGGAACTATATAGGAATGCTATACAAGCTGTCTTTCCTTTTCAGTATATCTCAGTATCGTCTTGGTAAAACTGTGTCACACCACTCGGCTACTGTCATGCTCCTTATTTTGATGTTGTCATGACAATGAAGAATGGGAAAAAAGATTTTGCAAATGATATTAATACAACAAGCACTTACAATCAATGTCCTTGGTTCATATCCCTCATCACAACCATAATCAGTTACTGTTTAGACAATGTGCAACTAGATTCTGTAGCTGTAGTAGTAAAAACATTGCATTCCGTTCCATATTACTGCAAGTTTGCAATAGTGCCACCATTTCAGTCGATATATATTCACAGACTGTGACCTTTGTTGTAAAATAATTCAAAAGTGACTTAAAGAGGAAATGTGATGGGAACGAAACAAGGCTGGTGTGGTGGTCCTGCAAAAATGACTTGTTTTCTAAAATGAATATGCAGTTTGGTGTAGAAAATGATGTTCTGAAAGCTGGGGACTGGTTGTTTACTGTATCATAGGTTTTGGATTCTCTGAAAAAATAAATAAATCATTTGCAATGTAAAGCAAAGGCGCATATTTCTGAGAGACCTTACTTTTATAAGAAGACTGTATCCTGTTAGTTTACTTTCCCCGTGTGGTTTGTTGTTGGTAAAAAATTATAATAATCCATAACAAAAAAAAAAACCAGTTTTTTTGTTGCTTCTGTACTTAGAGCTATGCACACCAAATCACTTAAGATGTTGAATAGTTATTATAAGAAGTCAAATAAATACCTTACCTGAATGACACATAGGTTAAACTGTGAGATTGATGTCCTCAACGCATGTAATATTAAAACTCCCTCTGTATCCTGTCAGTCTGTGAAGTGGTTGACATTTTGTAGCTAGCTGAATTGATTAAAAGTAATAAACCCCTAATCGCTGTGGGTTTTCATTATTGTCTCAAGCAAAACCTCACTGTCGCTTGACAGAGCTGCTTTGTGGGACAAGAACAGCAGCGCTGAATGAGCCAAACCTGAATCATATTGTTTCATCCGAAGCATACAATTAGAAGTCAGCATGTGTTCCCTGGGAATCAAAACCTGCGGTCTTGGTGTTGTTAGTGTCACGCTTTACCAGTTGAGCTATTGAAGTACCGTTTCACATATTAGTCATTTTATGAAGGTTATGCATTTCTGATGAGTCAAAAATGCCACTGAATGATATGAGACATCACAGAGTAAATTCAGACAATCTACTCTCTGTCAGGCCATCCAAGATGCATGCTGAGTTTCTTCAAAACAGCAAATAAAAGCATCACAGTAATTCACAAGTAAACCACATGCCTTCAGTCCATTGATTAATGGCTTGTGAAGTGAAAAGTTGCATGTTTGTAAGAAACAAATTTATCAATAAGACCTTTTAACTTCAAACTGTTTCCAGCTATAACATATGAATCCTCCATCCATCTCATCTGAATCAGGAGAGAAATATGCACAGATCAAGCACTGTTTGCAAGCAGAAACGGTCAAAAACTGTGCTAAACAAATATGTTGATGGATGTTTTGGATGTGAGAGGACAACAGGGATGGACTTTTTCACTGGAGGAAGTGTTATTATGGATAATGGATAATGTTTTTTTGTCCAGGAGCAACAGTTTAAAGTTAATATGCCTTAATTATGGATTGTTTCTTACAAACACACAGCTCATGAAAATAATTGATGGACTGGAGTCACATGGATTACTTGTGGATTATTTTAATGTTTTTATCAGCTATTTGGATTCTCATTCTGACGGCACCCATTCACTTCAGACAATACATTAGTGAGCAAGTAATGTAACGCTATTTTGTCCAAATCTGTTCCAATGAAGAAACAAACCTATCTGCATCTTGAATGGCCTGAGGGTAAGTCAATTTTCATTTTTGGGAGAACTTTTCTTTCAAGGCAGGTCAGCGACCATCTTAGTAACTGCCTCAAGGCTGCTGTTGTAATAGTCTACTTGAAAAGGGAATGACTAAGATCTTGACGAGTAGGTTTCAATAACAGATTTAAACTCAGCAATAAAATACGGAAACTATATGGTATCATACATTTAGCTTTAGTTCAAAACATGCTAAAACAAGCTACACTGAAAGAAAACTGTTGTAAAACCAATTTTCATTGCTTGTAAATTTCACAAATAATTACAAACGGCAAATTAAACGTGAAATTTTGAAGTAGAAAATCATATTTCAATAATTTGTTTTATTTACCACTTTGAAGAATCATTCAAATAAAAAAGCACAGTAAATTAAAAAAGGATGAATTTGCTGCTGAGATAAAATAATCAAGACACATCAGCCTAATTTAGTTCCATTGGCCAAGAACAACACAACAAGCTAATGCTTTGCGCAACCAGCAAGACGTCTAAAGTTTATCCAGAAACTTCTTCAGAAGCCTTAAAGAGCTTAATAAATCACAGATGCTGTCACATTGTATTATAAAAAACGAATAAACGCTTGATAAACACCGAGGTACATTGCAAGCTTATGAAGTGCACATAAAAGAAAGAAGGAATGTGGCAGAAATGTAGAGCTTATTAGAAATAGTCTTATACAAAAGAGAAAAAAGGGTACACTATATATGAGATTTATTGAAAAGGCTTTGTTTCCAATCATCCAATCATGGAGGTAATGTTTAAACATTGGAGCTAATAGGACGCAAGCTCATGTCTCTTGTATCGTCACACACTTTCTGTATTAAACGTTTGGAAAAGGTGTTGCAATATCAGGCAACACTGAGCTACATTAAATATTCATTACCATAAAAATATCCACACTGCAGGCATAGAAAGCTGGACAGACTCTGTTTACCCACCATTTTTAAAGTGGAGTCATCTCACAGAAAAGAAAAAAGAAGGGATTAGAGTAATGGAATATGAAGATTAGATGTTGCACATGTGGTTTGTCTAAATAATGTCTCAGCTGCTGGTTTTCTATAGGCTTGTGTGTTTGTAAACAAACCTGCATCTGTTGAATGATCCTATATATGTGTGATAATGTCAGTTATGCTGGCAGGGATAAGTGCAGTGTGCGTCACGCTTTATTTCGAATGTGAACCGACAGACATGTGAGACAGGGAATGGTGCGTTTTCCTCTGTGAAATCCAGCCCTTCAGTTGATAAAATGGAGTGCTGTGAGCTGCATTCCCTCCTGAGGAAAAACAAATGTGATTTTCTCTCATTCTGGCCTTGTGTGTGGGGCTGGCTGATGAACGAGGTGCTGTAGTGTGCTTTTCTGCTGACCCAGAGGTAATTAAAGATACTGGAGATTTACAACGAAGATGCAACCTCTCTCAGACAAAGGACTAACCTGAGACACAGCAATATATCTTTAGAGTGAGTGGCTGTTTGTTCCGTCTATCTATCTATCTATCTATCTATCTATCTATCTATCTGTCTGTCTGTCTGTCTGTCTGTCAGCAAGGATGCATTAAATTGATCATGTCATGATTATATTTCCACAATATATGTATGTATGTATATGTATGTGTGTATATATATACACAGTATATATATATATACTGTATATATGTATGAATGTATATATATATATATATATATATATATATATGTATGTATACATATGTATGTATATAAATAAAATAAAATAAAAATTCTTGATCACCAAATCAGCACATATTACACCAAATAAATACATATTTTAAAATATATAATATATATATAATATAATAAAAGTACCAAATTTTTGACCAAATAAAAAAAACATTTGAAAAATATTATCAGCCACAAACCTTTGAATGTGTAGTTACAGAGTTTTCATATTTACTGCCAGAAATTATTAGAGTAAATGCAATTATCTAAATCTGCTGACATCTGAATTTTTAACAATAATAATTACTGTACTCAAACAAAACAAAACAAAAATTTTAGAAACAATTTTCACTCAGCCACATATTAAATTGAACTTTCAATTTTTAGGTTTACAAACACTATTTTCTTGTAAAACATACGCTGTTGTGTTTTATTAACAAGTTCGAAATATCATTTTCCCACAGTGTACCCATAAACATTTCTTTCAAAATAGTTTAAACTCCCCTTAGCGCTCAGTCTGTCCTCCCGCTGTTTATGTCCCACTGAACCAACATGTTTCTCTTGCTGTCACATTAAGTCAAAACGTCACGCCTTCGCTCCGTCTTCGAGTCATTCTCATAGGGCGTAAAAGAACCGATGAACCGTTTTTTTGAACCGGTTCATTGAAACGAACTGTCCGAACGAACCGGTTCGCGGAAAAGAACCGGACTTCCCATCACTAATTCTCACTGAATTTCACATCTTCTCCTCAGCCCCCTCTTTCATTCGCATCCCCACCCTCCGTGTCTCACTTTCTCCACACCTTCATCACCCCTCCCCCCACTCTCATCCTCCTCCTCCTCCCGTAGCTGTAAGTGAAGCTGCATAGTGCTCTAGTGCTCTTCCCCCGCCCGATGTCCTGCAACCGCAAAACAAGCCCACTATTAAGTAGTCAGCAGAGCAGAGTTCAAATCATACAAAAAATCCTACACTTCCGCCCCAGCGCTCACAGCAACACATTAGCACGGCTTCACCGGATCTGTCCAGATCTTTGACACGTTCCTGTGGCGAGCCGAAAAGAAGTTCGCACACAGTCCTAACCAGGGGCGTCGCACCCGTGGGGGATGTGGGTGTTGCTGAACAGTTTGTCTCCTGTAAGGAGGGCAGAAAGAGCACTTTTGGTTCTTTTAAATGAGAGGTAGTTGGTCATATGTTCATTGGTCAGTTGGTTGTTGTTGTTGGTTGCATATATATATATATATATATATTTATTTTTGTTTTGTTTTGTTCTTAATATGTTGTTTGTATATCTGGAGTTTGTAACAAAAATAATTTCCCCCTGGGATTATTAAAGTATTTCTGATTCTTTAGCAAGTCTACTGTTGTGTATTTTCACAATTTATTTTCCGTGTGTTCCGAGTGTGTTTTTATACTTATCTAGTATCACTCATTTAAATGGGAAGCTTTTTATATCTTGTATGTTATACATTTTGTACCCCTCTGTCACTGTATTCATCGTTTTTATTGTTAATAAA